ACAGCATCAGCAGAGTGTGCTCCAAGATCATCGGACTTCCCACTCGCCCTCTGATTGCAGTGTGCGAGCAGCAGATCCTTGGTCTAGCTGCTCAGATCATGAAAGACCCCTCACATGCTCTCTTCCCCGCGTTCGAATGGCTGCCCTCCGGCCGCAGGCTGCGGTTCCCAGCTTGCAGGACAGCGAGAAGGAGATCCACCTTCGTCCCCCAGCCTGTTCTCCTCTTAAACTCTTAAACTCTTATTCCAATATCCCTGACACCCCTCCCCCACCATTCAAACTCGCATACCCCATTGTGCAATACGGGCTTACAGTGCAATACTTGACGTGCAATACTGTTTTCATGTGCAATACTGTCTTACTGTGTCCTCACTGTGCAATACTGCTCGATGTGCAATACTATTTGATGCTGGAGCCACTACCTCAAGACCTCAAGTGCTAAGCTACTCTTATCCTATGTCTTTCCTTGCTCCTACTGTCTCTACAATAAGCCGCTCTCGTACATCTCTAATTGCCCCACGGGGATAAATAAAGTTTTCTGAATCTGAATCTGAATCTGAATCTCCTCCGGACCATAACCTTCCAAATGACCAAATACTGCACCGCCCTGCCTCGAGGCCTGGAATCCAAAATCTCCTGGATAGTATATCCTGGGTCACCATCAACAATAAATGGATGAGGGGTTGACAGCGGTGCCAACGCACTGGACTCTACTGGCTTGATCAGTGACACATGGAATACTGGATGGAACTTGAGAAGGGGCAGCAGATGGAGCTTGACTAACCAGTGATAGGCATATTCTATCCATGGCAGGTGTTCAGCCCAGGACGCTGGTTGGTGCAGGCACACGCAGAGGATGGTCGTCTTAAGGTCATGATTTACTCGCTCATTCTGTCCATTCCTTTGTGGGTAGTATTCTGATGATGGAGCCACAGGAGCACCGATGACATGACAGAATTCCATACCTGGGACACCAACTGAGGTCTCCGGTCTGAGATGATGTCCCTGGGTAAGCCATGGAGTCGGAATATGTGACAGACGAGAAGTTGAGGTTGAATTACGAAGGAGATCAATGGCACGATCGTATGGTTAGTGTTGGGGTAATGTCTGGGCAAGATCTTTACAAAATATTTTTCTCAAATCATGATATTCTTGCGGGACTTTCTCTAAACAAACACACTCAGTGGACGGCACAATGGGTGGTCTATGTTTTGGATCGGCTGACCTTAGACAGTTGGAAAGACAAAATTGACTCAAATTCTTCACAGGACAATTCCAATTAATATCTATTATTATGTATTGTTAGGTATTAAGGTATGTATTAGGTGTTATACATTTTCAATCATGTAACCCTAACACAATCGGAGCTGCACGAGATGGCATGATGAAAAACCACCGTAGTCGAAGCAGATTCCATGAGATGCGTAACTGAATAGAACGAGTCATGTAACTTCTGTCAGGGGCCGCCCGTCAACATCTGTGACCCGTTTTACCTCTGATAGTTCTTCAGTAATGTTGCCTAGAGCTTCTACAATACAACTATCAATAAAACATTCATCTGCTCCGGAATCAACGGGAGCCGTATAATCTTTACATTTTTCCCAGACGCAGACACTTCTCCGGGGATTTCGAGTCTCTTAGCGTTAGACGAATAACTAGACCCCTGACCAAGATCAGTTTAATGGTTCTCTGCATTGCTATTGGATTGCACTTGGCTGACCGACTCCCAATGACCGAGCTGGGTGGAGGTTTAGTTGGACCACTCAGTGGAGTGCAATAGAAACAGGAACGTGACTGGAAGCGCCCCATCCGGTCCTCGGGAGGAAGTCACCTGCCTCCTAGCTGCATGGGTGAATCGGAGTGGGCCTTGGGTACCCCATGATGTCGATGGTAGCTGCTCGTAGGCTTGGGTCTCTCCAGTGTAGAGTGGTGGGCACAGAGGTTCTCGGAGGGAGATTGGGACTGTCCATACCCCCGTTTCCGGCGTCTCTCCTTCAAATGATTGTTCAAGTGGATCGACAATGTAATGAGTTCCTCAAGGTTGGAGGACACATTCCAGACAGTCAGCTGGTCTTTCAAGGTGGTACTAAGCTCTTGACGGAATCTGCTACAAACAGCACGGTCATCAAAAACTCTCTCTGCAACGAAGAGTGCGAAAAACTATGTAATAATCCGCTACAGACCCTGTACACAATACAACAACCACCCTTTGGCCTCTCTTCCCGTAACAGGGTACTTAATACCCTGCTTCGGTTCCTCAAGAGCCATAACCTGCCTATTTTAGATCCCCCTCTCCTCCAACACACACTTAAATGATCAGCTCATCAGTAAATTCTGTAGAGCCTTAGAACTATCGGTTACATAGGTGGATGGTTGTTGATCAAATATTATGGAGCACTGGTGAACGAATTGCCCGCATAATCAAGGCTCATCACCATAGCGCGATGGCTGAGGCAAAACTGGGGGAGCATGAGGAATTCCCAACATGGCAGTGTGGGAATCCGAGGGGGGTGTCATGGTCTTCATCACAGGCTTCATCTGTGATACAAAGATGCTACGACAAGGGAGAGCCAGGTCACAATGCCATTAGGAACCCCTCTGTGACAAGAGGGTTCCTATGCCCATATCCCCACAAGTACAACAGCTTAAGAGAAGAGCTATTGACCTCAGAGAGAAGATCATTAAATTGTGGGTCACGGAAGAGAAGGTGAGAGGCAACTGTCAGGGCGACCCAGAGAGATGTTAGTCTCCTAACAGAGCAAAGTAAAGTTGTGAAGCTTAAAGAAGAACTGCCTAAGAAATACAGAAACATGTCCACAGATGAGGCATTTGAGACTGCCAAGCAGACTCCTAGACTTGGCTGCTTGCCTGAAGAGTTACACAAGAGAGGTAAAGGCCAGGACAATAAACACAATGTTCTCCAACAAACCAGCTCACGTCACCTCTCAGTGGGAAGGTAGCGATTCTGAAACAGAGCACCCACGGGTGAGACAGTGTAATACTGGAAGAGTATATGGGAGGACTAATAGCAATGCCCAATGGCTGTCAGATTTACATACAGAGTACAGCAACATTTCAGAACAAGAACCAGTCATCCTAACTCTGGCAAATATCCAAGCAAGAATGTTGAAGATGAGGAGCTGGACAGCACCAGGACATTCCATCAAACAACCGATCTATAACCTCCCTCAGCACCACAAGGAAGCCCTTCCAGGCGTTATAGCAGCCACAATAAGTAGGAGTATGGATCAGTACATGAGCAAAGCACACAAAGCCATTGGTAAGAACACCATGGGTGCCAAACACCAACTACTGGTTTAGAGGGCAATCATCCAAGACTGTAAAATCAGAAGCACCAATCTGTGCACTGCCTGCATTGACTACAAGAAAGCCTATGGCTCAATGCGGCACACATTAATACTAAGAATGCTTGTTACTCTATAACATCAAGAGTATTCTAAGAACCCTCATCAAGTACTCAATGAGGCTGTGGACTACAACTCTGGAGGCCAACTCAAAGCCAGGTGCACAGGTGAATCTCAAATGTGGCATATTTTAAAGAGATGCTCTGTCACCACTGATGTTCTGCATAGGCCTGAACTCACTCACTCATATCAGACCCAAAAGTAGTGCTGAGTATCGGTTCAAAAGTAGAATAACGGTCAGTCACCTACTCTGCATGGATGACATCAACTGGGATGCTCAAAACGAGCGTAACATTGACTCCCTGATTCATTTTTTTACTTGGTCTCCGCTTTAAGGAGATACAGCCAGGTAGGTGAGAAAACAATTTATTTATTGATTTCATTACTTTAGGGGCCTTCACTTCAGCCTCCCCTAACATTTAAGCAGCTGTCCTAAAGCCAGGCTTATATTGTATTTACTCTTCCATGAAATATCATACTTTATATCGCAAATGCAGTCCCTCATTGTGTGTTATTGAGTGAAGTGTGCAGAGGCCAGTGTTATTTCTGTATAAGCTAGATAATGTGACAGCATAATGAATCTATTTTTCACACCCAGGGGAAGCATCAACTACTGTATATGGGATGTTCGTTTCTCAACAACATATTTAATGTTGTAAAGAAGAATTATATGTATAGCCTACCAGTACTCTGTTGTCTTGATTAAATTAATCATGTCTGCGCCTTTCCCTCCATCAATCTATGTTCAACATCGCTTATCCTTAACAGCATCACGGGGGTTCCTGGAGCTTATCGCAGGTGCCTTTGGGTAAAAGGCAGACTACACTTTGAAGTGGTTGCCAGTCAGTCATAGGGCCTTTCCAGATATTGATTAAGAATGATTTATGTCAAAACACTGTAATATTACAGACTGTCCCATTCGTAACACTAGACCATCACTAACCCCTCTCTAGCTACTGACAATTCAGCATAAAATCAGTCTGTTAGTTGAAGTTATAATTAATTCAATGAATTATTATCATCCATCCACCCAATCTCTCCTGCTTATCCTCACATGGGTCGCAAGTGTGTTGGTGCCTATCCCAGCTGACTTTGGGCGAGAGTCGGGGTACATCCTGAACTGGTTGACAGCCAATTGCAGGGCACAAACATAGAAAGACCTTTCACGCTCACATTCGAACCTGCGGACAATTTGGAGTCTTCAGTGACCTACCATGCCTGTTTTTTGAATGTTGGAGGAACTGGCATACCTGGAAAAAAAACACACTGGCACGGGGGAGATCCTGCAAACTCCACAAAGGAAGGGTGTGGCCCACAATTGAGCCCAATATCTCAGAACTGTGAGGTGATTTGCTAACCAGTAGGCAACATTGCTAATTTACTTTTGCTCACATTACTTTTATCCCTCCATCCATCCATTATCTGAACAGCTTTATCCTCACGACACTCGGGCTGTAGTAGGCTCCCAGCTGACTTTGGGCAGTAGGCGGGATACACCCTGAACCTGTTTGCCAGCCAATTGCAAGGCACACATAGAAAAACAACCATTCACACTCACACCTAAGGACAATTAAGAGTATTCAATTAACCTACCATGCATGTTTTTGGAATGTGGGAGGAAACCGGAGTACCTTGAGATGCAGGCACGGGGTGAACATGCAAATCCCATTCAGGAAGGTCAGAGCCCGGAATTTAACTCATGACCTCTGCACTGTGAGGCGGATCTGCTAACCAGTCAATCACTGTGCTGCCCTATTATTATTATTTTTAGTAATAGTCGTTATTCTCATGAACGGCGCTTGGGAAGTCCGGCTCCTTGAGAGCCTTATTCTGTCTGTTTTAGTTCGCTCTCTACTTCAACATGCATGTTTTTTTAGAATGTAGGAGGAAACCGGAGTGCCAGAAAAAAAAAAAAAAAAAAAAAAAAAACGCGCAGACATGGGGAGAACATGAAAACTCCACACAGTAAGGCCGGGGCTGGATTCGAACCTACGACCTCTGAACTGTGAGGTGGACAGGCAAATCAGTTGACTACCGTGCCGCCATTCTTCTTCTTATTATTATTATTATTATTATTAGGGATGCAATAACTTCACAGTTATGGAATGCTTGTGATATTGTAATAAGAATAGAACCCTAATCAGTAATAGGAGTCAATCTGTGGAACAAGCTTGAAACGGATCTGAAAATGAGTAAATCGCTGGACGAGTTCAAAAACAAATTTAAAAGATTAGTACAAACATCTGTGACCCTTCTGATTTTCCCATTTATACAGGTGATCCATACGCTCACTCACTCTCCTCTTCCATCCTTCTCTGTCATTCGCTAATCTCTCCACCTCCGTCCAGTCCATCCCTGCGTTCCTCATTACTCTCTTCCAGTATAATGTACTATGTGTATGTATGCACATGTACGTGTATGTATGTGTATGTATGTATGTATATATATATATATATGTATGTATATACAAACAGAAGGGTGTATAAATAGATAAGTACAGTACACATAAGGGTAAAAGTACTTGATGAGAGGTAGATCTCTTCCTTTTCTTTTGCATTGAAAAATGATCTATTTATATTATTACACAACAAGGGGTAGGACTAGATAAGTTGTATACTTCTTCCTACTCCTTTGAGCATATAACGATGATGATGTTTGTTTTATTTACTTTTTATTTTTATTTCTCCTTTTGTAATTTTGTTTGCCTTTTGTCAATTGTTGTTGTATTGTATGTTCAATAAACAATTAACTAACTAACTAACTAACTAATTCCGATGCAGCTCAGACATTGTTTTAAACATAAATAAAAACAGAACACAATTGATTTGCAAATCATGTTTAAACTATATTTAGTTGAATCCATGACAAAGACAAGAGATTTTATGTTCAAAATTATAAACTTTATTTTTTTTAGCAAGTAATTATTAACTTTAATCATTAATTTTACACTTCATAATACGCCATGCATTTTCAGGGAGACAGGTCAAGACTGCAGGCAGGCCAATCTAGTACCCACACTTTTTTACTGCATAGTCATGTTGCTGTAACACATGCAGAATTTAATTTGGCCAGGTCTTGCTGAAATAAATAGTGGCGTCCATGAAAAAGATGCTTGGATGGTAGCATATTGTTCCTTAAAACCTCTATGTTCCTTTCAGCATTCAAGGTGCCCTCACAGATGTGGAATTTACCCATGCCATCGGCACTAACACAGTCCCATACCATCACGGGTGCTGGCTTTTGAACTTTGCATCAATAACAAACCAGATGGTTCTTTTCCGCTTTGGTCCGAAGGACACACCGTCCAAAATTTAATTTGATATGCAGATTTGTCAGACTACAGAACACTCTTCCACTTTGCATCAGTCCATCTTATGTAACTTGGGCCCAGAGAAGCCGCCAATGTTTCTGGGTGTGGCTTTTGATTTGCATCGTAGAATTTTAAGTTGCACTTATGATGGCGTGCCTAACTGTATATACTGACAATGGTTTTCAGAAGTATTCCTAAATCCGTGTGGTGATACCCTTTATCCGTTGATGTTGGTTGTTGATGCAGTGCTGCCTGAGGGACGGAAGGTCACGTTGTTGTTGTTCGGCCTTGCCGCTTGCATGCAGTGATTTCTCCAGATTCTCTGAAAATTTTTGGACCGTCGATGATGAAATTCCTAAATTCATTGTGAATATAATCTTTAAACTGTCCAACTGTTATCTCACACAGGTGTTCAAAAGAGGTGAACCTTGCCCCATCTTTGCTTGTGAGCAATTGAGGGTACTCCTACTACTATTACTCGTGCTACAGCGAGCGTCGGGGCATCCGTCCCTGTCCGTTGAGCTGACCATATGCGGCAATTTTTTCCAAAGCTGGAGATCTTGTGCCAGCTGCTCTGCATCCTCCACAGCAACTTCCTGTTGTTGGAGGTCACCTTCAACGACTTCGGTCCATCGGGTGCGAGACTTTCCTCATGGTCTTCTCCAGCCTGCAGCCTTTGGGTCAAACTGGAGGATGGCTCATGTAGGATGGTCGGGGGGCAGACGAAGAACATGGCCGAACCAGCAAGTGCGGCGTTGTGCGATCAATGAAGATGCTCGGGGCTGGCGCGTGCGAGATCTAAGCACTTCATTGGAAACTCGCTGGGGCCACCTGATGTTCTCTAGGGTTCTGAGAGCCCTGGTATCGAAACCATTGATTCTTGCAGAGATAGTGTCATTCAGGGGCCATGTTTCTGAGCTATTGAGCAGGCTGGAGAGTATGGCCGAGTGTAAATCCGGAGCTTCGTCTTGCATGAGATGGTCTGATGTCGCCATGGACCCCAGATACACAAACATCTTGACAGGCTCTACAATGTCACAACCAATGCGAATTGGGGGTGGATCTGGTCCATCACCGATATACATTAACTTGATTTTTGTCCAAGTCACTTGGAGGCCGAGCTGTGCTGCCTCCTCACTGTAAATGCCCACAGCGTCTCTCAGCTGACTGTAGGTTGTGTTTAGCAGGATGGTGTCATCGGCGTACTCCTTGTCAGTCAGGTGGTAGTTGCCAAAGGTCATTCCTGTAAGAAAACATTGTTTGTCCATGGTGTCGCCCCTCCCTTTCGTTTTGTTACCTTTATCAGTGTGGGCTGTGCGCCTCCTTAATCGGTGCACCTGCCTCCCCTACACACCTGAGAGTCTTCTACTCATCAGCCACTTGCAGCATAAAAGCCAGCCTGAATAGCCACCCGTTGCCAGTTCGTCAGTGATCTTTCCTGCCGCACTCGCTTCTGCCAAGCCTGCGTTCCTGTACTCCTTGAATTGGTCATTTTGACTGTCATTCTGTTTCTGTCACCTCGACCTGTCCCACTTCCTGACAATAAAACCCTTCTGAGTTCATTGTGTCTGCGTGAGGGCCCTGTGTCCATCTCTCACAAAGCCTAACAATTCCGAGGACACACTCGCAGAACCTAGTCATTGGATGGTTGATGACGCAGTTAAAGAGGTCACGAGCAGTCACACAGCCCTGGCAAACACCACTAGAGATGGTAAATTAGTCGGAGTCAATGCTGTTAATACAGACACAGCTCTCTGCATTGCTGTAGAGCAGCTGGAGCAGGGCGATGATCTTGGGTGGCGCTCTGAGGGCTCGGAGGATGTTCCACGGTGAGGAGTGGGATACAGTGTCAAACGTGGCCTTCAGATCGGAATTCATGAATCTTCTCTATCAGCACACGGACGACAGAGATGTGGTCAGTTGTGGAGCGATTGGGCATAAAGCCAGCCTGCTAGGGACGGCGGCAGCTTCTGTACACTGGAAGGGCATGGCTGAGCAAGATTCTGGTAAAGACCTTCTCAGGGTTGGTGAGTGGGGTTATGCCTCTGTGGTTTCCACAGACAAGCCTGTCACCTTTGCGTTTACAGAAGGGGAGGATGACCCCTCTGGTCCAGTCACAGGACAGCTGCTCAGGCTCCCACGCCTGATTGAATAGGTGGGTTAGTCACTCCACCATGCCACAACCTTTGAGCATTTCCCCGGTGATGGCACAGATGCCGGGGGCTTTTCTGATGTTCAACTTCTTTACTGCAGCTCTCACTTCCTCGGGAGTTACAGGGTCTTTTCAGTAGGGGTTGCTAGGGGGTGCAGCGTTTGCAGCCTCTCGGAGAGTGGGATCAGCCGGGATGGTTCCGTGCTGCAGGAGGAGGCTAAAATGCTCCTTCTAGCGCGCAAGGCAGTCGGCTTCTGTTGTAATGATATTACCATCTGAGTCTTTTAACAGGGCTGTCTTTATGCGTGGACCGCTATGGGCTTGGCACAGCAGACTAAATATGCGGTTCATGTCATTGCTGCTGGCTGCGGATGCAAGCTGCCGGGCTTCTGCCTCCCATAACCTCTCCCTATCCTCAGTGATGGCCACATTGCGCAGGCGGTTAAGTCGCCGATATTCGTGAGATTGCCTAGGAGCCGGGGTTTCACGCTGCTGGTCGATGATGTTTTGTGTCCTCTATGATATCCAGGGCTTTCTCGGGGAGGATTGTAAGCGTCCAAGGACATTGTGAACAGACTGGAGAACATTTTTCTTGAAGGTCGCCCAATCTGTCACCTTGTTGGGTGCCAGGGCATCAAGACTGATGCGAATGGAGCGACTGAAGTCTGGTGTTGTTGAGGTCAATGAGTAGGGAGGAGTTGAGGTGAGGCAAAGTGTTTTGCTGGTTGGCTCTGACCTTAAGGTTAAGCTGAGCCACCAGCAGGCAATGGTTTGTGTTGACAAGCTGTGCTCCTCTGTACACCCGGCAATTGGTGACAAATGACTTCCTGCGTCGAGAAATGAGAATGTGGTCCTCGTTCTGCCATCTGGGCTGTACCACATCCAATGATGGATACATTTCCGGGGAAACCAGGTGTCAGTGACACAGAGGTTGTTATGGTGACAGAGGAGGAGGCGGTTGTCGTTATCATTTGTGGCCTGTCAACAAAGGTGGTACCGACAGGTGAGCCGGTGGACCGATCACTGCTGGATGGAGTGCCGTTGGTGTCAGTGAGAATGATGGTGACATCGTACAGTGGAGCTTGGTTGACAGCCTGGTGGAGGTGGTCAAAGAACTTGTCCTTCGCATTGTCATCAGCGACGTCCATGGAGACATACGCAACAATCACAGTCATCTTCCCATGGTGGTGGAGGAGGCAAGCAGACAGTAGTTTGTCGCTTAGCGGCGTCCAGCTGATGAGGGACCAATAGGATCATATATGAACAAATCATTTGCCTCCTCACTAAAGGAAGAGCCCGTGCTGGCAATCGGTATTTTGCTGAATGAAAAAACATGGAAAAGTGGAATAATATTGAAAGATATGGAATGATGTGCACTTATATAAAATTATCTGAAACAACATTAGAAAATTTATGATTTCAATTGGCTGGACAGTTTAAAGTTAGAACAGTCGAATCGATCAAAAAAAAATGGAAATTATCAGGAAAAAAAAACTAATTGTGGCTCTTATTTTGAAAGTTTGGCAAAAATGTGGTATTAGCTGAACCGTTTAAAGTTGGAACGGTTTGAATCAGGCGAAAAAAAAAATCGAGAATCCCCTCCCCCCCAAAAAAACAAAAAAACATTCATTTGGGCTTTTATTTATACATTTTCAAAACAAAATGTGGTCAGGATAAGATGGAAATGGTGAACAAAAAAAATTTGCAACAGCAACATTATGAAAGACATAAAAAAAAAAAACTCAAAGTAGAAGGGTTATTTTCAAACTTTTGTCATGCCACACCTGCCAAAACCAATGAGTGCAAGCTAGGGCTGATGGGATTGATGTTTAATGCTGTCCTGCAGACGCCTCTTGAAATAAACATGTCCAGTTCATTGCTTCAAGAGTCCATTTCCTCCACTCTAGCAAGCATGTTGGTGGAGCACAGCTGCACAGCTGTAAGCCAAGAAAAACATGCACGGTTCAAGTTGTGATGCTGATAGTGACAAGCAAAATTGTACTTCACAGCAGGTGAAACTTCCACCTGAAGTATGTTTGTTAGCAAAGGGAGCAGTCATAGAATTTCTCATGAGGAAAGATCAAACCAGTGTGTACAGTACTAAAAATAAACCAGACCCAAGGTTTACCAATGTAGTTCTTGTATGTTTTTCCTGACATAGAGTATTTACTCGGCGGATATTTTTAGTACAAAAACTGTCACAAGTTTAGCTTAGTAAAGATGGATCTCTTTCCGGGTTCTCTAATCGTGTGTAAACTGGGTGAAAATGCTCCATGCCAAAATGTAAAACAATCCACCACCTGGATTGCATTGTTACAGAGAACAAATGGGTTTTTAACAGCAAGTCCACATCATTTGAGGTCAATCTTACTAGTGTAGGCCCACCCACGGCCAGCATCCGACTCTTTGCCTGGTTTCATGTGGCTCTTAAATTGCTTTTAACGCTGAACTTTGCAGCATGCCTTTATCATCCCCATTGTGTACGTGGTAAGGGGCGGTCACCAGGGATTGGAGCTGTGCGGCTCGGACATCTGCTGCGATGGCAAGTCACCTCAAATTAAAACATACAGTATTCTATTTTAGTGATGTCAGAAAGCATTTGCAATTGGAGAGGAGCTTGTGAGTGATTTCCTCCTATTGTGACAGACTTATGTACTGTTAATGGCATGAGGGCAATGGAGTAAGTCTTACATATACCTCATACAGTGCATTTACTGTATTAATGAAAGATACATCTTTTCTCCACTTTCCCTCCATTCTTAAAATGAGCACAGACTGGGCTTTGATTTGTAACAATTAAAGATGCATTTTGTCAAATGTGGACAGACTTTTTTATTAAGATAAGATAAGATAAGAAAACCTTTCTTGTCTCACAATGGAGAAAGTCTCAATTTACAACAGCAAAGTTTGGAGGGAAGAAAGTAGAAAATGTAGAAAACAATGGACTTATCAATACAACCCTTGCAGCTGAAGCCAGAGGACAACCATCTTACGTTGGCACTGTTACTGACAACTAACGTCATTTTTTTTTCGCTGAAAACACTGTTAACAGTGCATGCTTTACATGACAATTCCGGTGAGGGTAATGAGAACCTCTCAAAGAATGAATTTCATTATTTGCATCAACCATATAGTAATAGCGACCCACCAGGCTTCTCGTTCTGTCTCCTCTGAACGGATTGGAACTGGGAAGTAAATTCCTTGTGTGTTTCTTGCATACTTGGCCGATACATCTGATTCTGATTCTGCTATTATCTCAGTATCGTGAATTGTGACTGACAGAAATTAGGTTTGCATCTCGTCGCGAATTTTGTCCCAACTTATGGTAGTTATATTTTGGTTCATCACAATACATTTTGACCTCCAGCAAACATACATAAATGAAGGAGTATCTTATCTCAGGAGCATTTCCTACAATTCACCAAATAACTTTATGTAGTCAGTACAAATCGTGTTCCAAGTCCAACTTCCCACCTTCCTCGAAGCAGCATAAGTCCATGGGTCTACTTCTCATCCAAACCAATTGGAAAAGTCTCACTTTTTAGTCCCTGGTTTCACTTCCATAGATTGGCACACTATTACGCGTCTGATTGAATGCGGCAAGCGAGATCGAGTAGGCTTGGCTGCAGAACGCAGTGGGAGGTGTGCTTCACCATTGGGTGGACCTAAACGTTTGGCTCTGCCCACACAAATTATTAACTGTATGTATGTATAATATTACGCATATTTTTAAGACATAAAAAAATGACAAGCTCTCACCCTTGTCACTCCGGGGAGAGCCAAATGAACTGCTTGACAAAAGTCGTTGACATGTGTTTAAGGGTTCAGAAAATGGGAGTGTCGATGTTGGTTCTGAGTGTCGAGGTCACCGAAAAAAGTTGCGGTTTTGTAAAATTGAGTGTGATGCATGCAGTATCACATGATCCCAGTGGAGGGCGCATTCTGTATGGTTGAGGTTAGTGTTTGGGTTTCAGTCAATCGATGGTTTGTAATTTTCAATGTTAAAGTGTCAACAAAAACAACAAGTGTGACGTAATAAGACGGCACATCATTGAGAAAATAGTTGAAAAAAAAAGACAAAGAAAGAAAGAAGAGGAAGGCGTTTAGAGATTGAGAACCCATGTGTCAAAGGTTCAGGCCAGGGGTGTCAAACTCATTTTTGTCGCGGGCCACATTGCAGTCACAGTTTCCCTCGGAGGGCCATTATGACTGTGAAACCGTATAAATGTTTAATCACCTCCTCATATGATTAAATATACAGTCCACAATTAATAGATAACTATTTTTGAAATCAAAAGTCGAGACAAGAGAGTAGTTTGTTGCACTGTTGTTCAAGTTTCTGTAATAATGTAAAACACAAAAATGTTTGCAATAGCTCAACATGATTATTTACTACATATGAAATTTGGTACAGATTTTGGCATGCGTCATGGAAGTTGACCTGGTTGATTTGCTTTCGCGGGCCACATAAAATGATGTGGCGGGCCAGCTCTGGCCCCCGGGCCTTGTGTTTGACACCTGTGGTTTAGGCCTACCCCACGTTGAGCTGAGCTTCGAACTGCACTCTGTAGCCAGGGCTTACACAGCGAGATACCAGATACTAATGCATGCATGTCACGGGCATAAAATTGGGGGGAACAACGTTGAGTGGTGTTTCCTAAATTCAATCTCAAGGGAGGGAAAAATGCACAGCAAGACAAAAATAAGAAGATGATCGCAAGACCTTTGAACAGTTTTTCTTGAATGAATTTGTAACACCCATCAAACAAAAAAAAAAAGTTTTTATGCTATGGTATTTGTTTTTTTTTACGCTGTTCTTGCAGGTGTATAAGACCAGTGCAAAAATGCAGCACATATGCTGCTCTCTGCTGGGGATTTTCAGCAGGACCCTTCTGCCTCTCCCCAAAAGATTATTGTCACCTTTATAAAAATGTGTTTTTTGGCTGGCCAATTGTGCCAAAATATTACTACAAGTGTAGGTTTACCTCATTCAGTCCACTCATCTAACGTCTCATGTATTTCTTTAGCATTCATTGGGTGGTTGTGTGTGCTTTTTTTAAGGCTACATCTCCTATGATTGAACACATCATTAATAGGTCACGACAGTTGCCATGTTTACAGTCATCCACTCACTCTAGCACTTGTTTCAAGCCGACAACTCTTGGGAACATTTGACCAAGAGGTTTTATTCTTTTGAGCGTTTATCTTCTATTTTTAATAGCTTGCGCAGGTGCTGTAGCTTTAGTGGCTCAGATGGTCCTTGCACAAACTGTCAATGCAATGTGCCAAGTGTGAAAGTTCTGTTTCGGTGAATACATTTACATGCATTTGCTCATGTTTATATCATTTCTAATTGTAATTTAATTTGTGCGCGTGTTTTGTTTTTTTTGTTTTTTTTAATATATCACCAGCTCCCCACAATATAATGATAATCCTATTGTGAGGTTCATGTCAGGACGATATCATATTATAACATTTGGATATCGTTGCACCCCTACTCATAAGCAGGTGTTGGATCCTACATTGTGCAGAAGAATGATTGTTGCCTACACGTATGTTGTGACTCTTTCCCAAGCAATAGGTTTGGATTCGTGCCCCGAACCGCAGCTCCCAACTAACGGCCACAAAGTGGGAGACCGCTACACTGTCGGCGACATGGTTTCCTTCCAGTGCGACGAAGGCTTCTCGCTACAGGTACGTGTAAACATTCTGTGTGAGTAAAGCTGTCCAATGCAGCTTACTATGATAAGCAAATCATATCCACCTGCCCAGAGTGATAA